CCCATGCAATTATTCTGTGACAATCAAGCAACTTTGCATATTGCATCACATCTTGTTTTCCACGAACAAGCTAAGCATTTGGATATTGACTGCCACTTCATTCGTGAACGTGTTCAGCGCCACCACATTTAGACTTTCCATATTCCCACAGTGAAGCAGACTGCTGACTTATTTACTAAACCTCTGGGTGTTGCACAGTTCACTTTGCCACTTGGCAAGTTGGGCCTTGTTTCCCCTGCCCAACTTGAGGGGGGGGGGGTGGGGTAATAGAGAATAACAGAAAACAGTTGAGCTCGTTAGCTAGCCAAGCTGCCATAAAACGGTTAGCTAGCCCACGACAGTAAATGAAAGTTCACCTTTTTCTCTCTAGACTTGGATTCATTTTTCTCTCTGAATTCTTGTTTTTCAAAAGTCGAACGAGGAGAACCTGATGCATTGCTCCATCCTCTGTGGCATTGCTAGACCTACAGCTACAACCTCTAGTTTATAAAGAGGAGAAGGAGAAGGAGAAGAAGAAGAAAAAGCATTGGAGAATAAGAATAACATATCTTCAAATGAAAGAGCGGAGTGGATTTGAGAAGTAGGAAGCGTTGTTGCTCTAAATCCATGGCGCTTGTGGGTTATGCCACATGGAACACATAGGGAGACTAAAGTCACTCTAGGGACTAGGGCATATGCTATTGTTAGGATTAAGCTTTGAATTACCGATTAATTAGTATGGAAAACTAGAAAATAATTAAGAAATATGTGAATTATAAAGCAAATAATAAGAACAAAAGAAAGGCAAAGATGATGCCAGATTTACGTGGTTCGGTCAAAGAAACCTACATCCACGGGAGAGGAAAGAAAACTTGTTTATTCATGTCCTTGATGAGAGTACTACAAACTGGCCACCTTACTAGAGCCGAAATGCCTTTAACAAAGCCTTGAAGCACTCCATAGCATAGATGACTGCTTTGATCTGGTGTGAAAGAACCTTTAATGGTAGCAATGAAGAAGAAAACCGATCCCAAACAAAGTAGAAGCAGATCTCGCCGGAAGATGGCGATGGTGTTCTCCCAATCTCTTCAGCTTTCTAATGCTCACTCCCCACATACACAACTACTCCCTGGAAGCTCCCCTTTTATAGAAGAAAAACAGGGAACGTGGTCCCTAAATTTCAGGCGAAATGGTGGAGCAGTTTTGGTGGAGTAAATTTGTGATTATTGAATTACTCAGCCACACCAAACGTCAACAGTAATTTGTGACTGTTGAATTGCTCAACCACACCAAACGTCAACAGCTATTGAGAACTCAAAGTGAGAGTCTGAGAGAGATGGAAAGTTGGAAACTAGGAATAGTAGACTAGAGTGATAGAATCCCTTTCGTATTCGGCAAATTCAGAAGTTCTATCATCACAAGCTTGGCCTTCATGGATCATTAAATCCTATTCCTATCGTGTTTGTCAATTGTCGATCCGAAAAAACTTGTTCTAAGTTTTCAAACCAATGCGTTTATATAAAGCGTGACCATTCCCACAGGATCATTGGCTTGCCCTTTTTTTCAGTTCAAACCCCATTTACTAGAATGGTTAAACCATTTGCAGAGGAATTTTGCCCTTAGATGTTCGATCTTGACACAGAATCGATCTTACTTGAAAACCAGGTTCGGATGGTTCAATTGTAAATACCACAAGAATACAAGGTATTCAATACAATGTATTGTCTATTAACCGGCTCAAACGGTTGAACCATTGATTTTAGTCCCTTTTTTTTGTTAGCCTATTGTCAATCCCTTTTCAATAAAATAATTTTATTAAGGTATTCAAATCAATGTGTAAACCATGAACTACTGCAAATATGTGTTCCGGTTCAAGTTTGTTGTTTGTTAACATTGTAATTTGTAAATATATATCGAAAAACAAGTCAAATTTGCAAACATGCCAGGTTTTGCATCCAAAATGGGGGCAACGTTTGCTTCTAAGAAATTGATGGCTTTGCTCCCATCTTCAATGGAGGTAAATAGGCTAACCTTTTGCTCCCTTCTTCAGTGGAACTTGTCTAGAGCAAGAGACGAAATAGTAACTTCCAATATCACAGTGCAAGTGAAGGAAACCTCCAATCTCATATCACTGCTCAAGACGTTCTCCTATCTCACCTTGCAGCTGACGATCATGGTAAATCATTTCTTCCTTGAAATGCCAAAGCCAGAAAGACGACCATAGGCATAACAGTAATTAACATCTGATCTTATGTTGCAGCCAACAAACGACCTCCAACCTTGATCATTGCTTAAGCCATCCTTCGATCTGCATTGTTAATGATCTTTTTTAACCAATTACCAGCTTCTACACTTTCAGGATACATATGACATTAAAACCTCTGACTTCTACAATCTAGACAACCATCATCTCAGCTCAGATGTGTTGCAACTTGCAGCCAGTTATTTCAAGAGCAAAACTTTCCTTTCTTGTTTGGATATAAGTTCTTCATTTACCTGCTTTGGCAGATCTGATTTTTTTTTTCTGTAGACGGAATTGCATCCTCGTGTTCATTCAAATCTCTGATCTTGGAATAGAAACCCTAGGCATAATGACAACCTTTGATTTTGGCTAACCATTTTTTGTTCATCAAAATCTCCAATTTTGTTTAGATATAAGATCATCATTTTCTTTTTTGTTTTTTGTTTTTTTTTTTTTAGTTATCTGGTTACATCTAGTTCTGTGCATTTCTGGTTTTTTCAGTTGATGAGTTTTTTATTAGGGTAAATTACAAACGCCCCCTATATCATGGGGTCAGTGAGTCCGTGCGTTCTGTGCACCCACCAATATGAGGCGAACACGTCATCTCATCAGTCTTAACCGCGAATTAATGAAGACTTTCTCCGTTATTACAGTTCGACTGGTTGAACCAGCCACAAAACACGTTTGGCCTTCCCTCTCATGTTAGAACTCGACTAAAACCCCTTCTGCCTTTCGAACCTAACCCTGTTACTAGATCATCGGTAAGATATTGTTCTTCCTCCTTCCCTGCAAACTCAATGAAGAAGAGTGACTTATGATGCAACATATGAACTCCCAGTTGCAGACGAGCAGCTCCGATGGCATCCCTGCAATTGGTTTCTCCACCACAAAGTCCACATGATTTAAACCGCTCTCTCTGATTTCAATGGCGATTCCCTATGTCTGGCAAAGGGCCAATGGCTATGGATGCAGTAGTAAGCCGCCGCCGAATCCACACCGTGTTCAAGAGTAGAGATAGGAAAGTTGTCAACAGCGTTAGCGGCTTCAGCATTGGCAACCACTGGAGCCACAGCAACGGAGACAGCAAGACAATAGAAACGCCTTCTTGGGTTCACGGGTGGATTTCCCAACTGCCACTGCCACAAGGATTTTATTGAGATTCATCGTATATCTTCATGTATATTTTAGGATGTAATCTTTGTGCCAATTTAGGATAGCTGTAAATTTGGTTTTAGTTACCATAATTATAGGAGTCGGTGATTTGTTTCCTAGTTGTTAGCCGATATTCTTGCGGGGGAACTTTGTATATATGTTGCTTGTAATCGTTGGCTGGAATGACACTGAAAACTTCTCCCATTATCTTTCTCTTTCACCTAAACTTTCTCAGATTCTTGGGTTAAGGGGTGGATTTTCCAGTGGGAAACGTCTCATTCTTCTTATTCTTCTCTGGCCATGTAGCTGGTCCTTAACTGCTTTGCTGGAGATTTAGGGCTTCAAAATCATTTTTCCTGCTTTACTCAGATTATTCTAAAAATAGGATTACGTGCCCATACTTTTCATCATTTTCCTTTTTCATTGATGGGTGTGGTGCAAGAGAGAGCAAACCTAGCCAAAACTTGTATGTTGGATCCGCCCCCCTCCCAGTCAAGAATTTAGAATTTGTTCTAGGAAAAAAACTTAAAAAACAAAAAACTGAATGTGTTATTTATTCGTCGAGGATCCATTGCATGCGCTCCTGGATTTTTTTTTTTTTTACACATTCAACGTGGCCGAACGTAATTGGAGGGTGCACTCGACCAGTGCACTAACAGGTGCACAAAACGTAAACTCGGGGTTAGTGACAATTACCTTGAGTGTGTTTTTATAAAAGTACTTTTGCAAATGTGCTTTTATAAAAGTGTTTTCATAAAGTACTTTCGTAAAAATGCTTTAATAAAGTACTTTTATAAATGTGCTTTAGTAACAGTACTTTCACAAAAGTGCTTTTATAAAAATACTTTCATAAAATTATTTTTATAAAAATACTTTCGTAAAAGTGCTTTTGTAAAAATACTTTCATAAAAGTGCTTTTATAAAAGTAATTCCATAAAAGTGCTTTTATAAAAATACTTTCATAAAAATGTTTTTATAAAAATACTTTCATAAAAGTGCTTTTACAAAAATGTTTTATAAAAGTGCATTAATAAAGTAATTTTATAAAAGTGCTTTAATAAAAATACTTTCATAAAAATGCTTTAATGTAAAAGTACTTTTATAAAAGTGTTTTCATAAAAGTACTTTTATAAAAGTGCTTTCGCAAAAGTAAACATCTATGGCAACAATTTTGCAGGGAGAGTTTCCTCGAAAAATGAAAATGAGCAAGATGGAGCATGATTATTTTTCACGCTGCAGGCTACTCAATTTTTGTGATACGGGGCTAATTTTTCATTCTAAAAAGAATGTGGCCCATGACAAGAATTTTGTAATCAAACACTAATGTTATTCATTCTTGCCCATTCTTACCTAAAACAAGCAACAATTAAAAGAATGAAGCCCTGAACAGTAAACCAAACATGGCCTTAACATCTGTTTTCCTTTTCCACAGCCATTTTATGTGTCAACGCTACAACTAAGCACCAGAAAATAGCATATTTTCTGAAGAACTATTCATTTTGCATGAAACTAAACGTATCTTCAGTACAGAAGTTGACGAGATCACAGTACTGTTTTGGTTGCCAATCGTCAGAGGGGCGCCCTAAGTCCGACCATCCTTACGAGAGAAAACAAAAAGATAAAAACATGAACAAAAAAAAGAAATCATTACTTCCACTTCGAACCCACAAACATATTCTCCATTATTTCCAAGAAATAAATGAACGGAGTACCTCAAGCATCATCAAATAGAAACACTGAAACAGATCACATTCATCCAAAAATGGAACAAAAACTAACCTTACGGGGTTGACCAAAATTGTTTTTCCTACATTTTGACTAAAACCTTCCCTGTAGTTTTGTGTCAGGAGTTCAACTCAACAGTATTGACCACAGGAAAACATAGAAACTTCTTCACATGTTACAAATGCTAGGTTGGCACTTTCTGTTCTCTGAGAAACCATTCAACCTTTGAGCCCTCTTATAAGCCACCTTACATAGTCTGAAATGAGAAACTGTGCTTTCCCATAGTCCTCTGCTTGAGTTAAATGCAGTCTAAGATGGCTTCTACTTCTTCTTCTTTGACTTGGACAGTGATTGAGCATATGCAGTTCCCTGACCAAAAAAAGGGGAGAGAGGAGGTATTAGTGATTCATGTTCAGGAACACAGTTGCAGCATATGAAAAATGAGAGATCAGTTGAACCTAGCAGTCTTGTAATTACGGGGAAAAAACACTAGGACAGGGAAATGAGCATCTTTGACAATCTACTCACCTCCAACCATTCATCCATTGAAGCATCAGTTGTTCCAGTCCCCACTTCAACTTTTGGCATCCTTTTAGTTTTCTGGGTAATTTAAACCAGAAAGTTAAAAAAAAAAATGTTCTGATAAATAACAGAGCAATTATCATAATTGCATTAGCTAGGCCTGCTATAAACATGATAATAACACAGGAATAGAAGAGCAATCAATAGAAAACAACTAGGACTTTCAATTAATACAACAGGAAAGTTATGCCTCGATCGAAAATTTTACAAGTTGCCTCCAATTATTAACACTAACCAGATCATCACAATTACTAATTTGAATGAGTTGCACACATACCCTTTTTATTATCAGTCACACATTGATGCAAATTTTAAGGAGGAGATTAATGCCCTCCATAAGAATAACACTTGGGAGTTGGTGGATCTTCCCAAGTAGGACCTAATAGTGTAAATGTGTGTTTCCAGTAAAGTATAGGGTAGATGGGACAGTAGAAAGGTACAAAGTAAGGTCGGTGGCAAAAGGGTATACCTAAGTATATGGCATTGATTATGTTGAGACTTGGCTTTGGTAGCAAAATTGAACTCAATTTGGGTTCTCTTGTCGCTTTGCCTACCAATCTGGATTGGGGAATTACATTAGTAATGGTGACTTGGAAGATAAGGCAAGGTGTGTAGATTAGTCTTTATATGGCTTAAAGCAGTCTCCCAAAGCTTGGTTTAGTAGGTTTCATATGGTGGTTCAGCAGGTAAGGTTCAAGGTCAAGCAATGCCAGTCTGATCACACACTCTTTGTTAAGGAGTCCAGGGAATGTTGCAGCACCGGTTGTATATATAGATGACATTATCATCACAAGTGACAAGAGTTTTGAGATACAGAAATTGAAGGAGTTTTTGGCTACCCAATGTGAGGTGAACAATATAGGGCCACTACGGTATTTTCTTGGAATCAAGGTTGCTTGCTCCTAAAAGGGTATCTTCGTTTCTCATAGGAAATACATCTTGGATCTATTACAGGACACAAGCAAACTAGGTGCAAAGCCAATTGATAAATTGGTGTTAATCACAGGTTGGGTGATTGTGATGGAGAACCTTTGAAAGATGTAAAATAGTTTTAAAGGTTAGTGGGAGATTGTTGTACTTGTCTATGACACAACCAAATATTGCTTATGTTGTGGGAGTTTTGAGTCAATTTATGCACTCTCCTAGGTACCATACTTAGAAGCTGCTAAGAGAGTTATCAAGTACTTTAAGAAATATCTAGGAAGTGGGTTACTATTCAAGAAGCAAAATCACTTGAAATGGAGGGTTATACTGATGCGAGCAAGTGTTGTGGATGACAAGAAGTCCACCCATTGGTATTGTACTTTTGTGGGAGGAAATCCTAGTGACATGGAAGAGAAAAAGGCAGAGTGTGGTTGCTAAATCAAGTGTTGAAGCTGAATACAAGGCCATGGCTCATGGGATGGCTGAAGTGCTTTGGATAAAGTTTGGGGAACTGGGATTTAGTGTAGACATCCCTATGTCTCTCTATTTTGATAACAAAGCATATTGAAGTGAACAAACACTTTATAAGGGAGAAGCTCAAGAAGGATCAAGTGTGTACCACTTATTTCAGCTCCAAAGAGCAACTTGCTGATGTTATTTCAAAGGGGCTTTAGAGTTTGTGGCACAATGAATTATGTGATAAGTTGGACATGATTGACATATACAGCCCAACTTGAGGGGGAATTTTGTTAGAGTGTTGTTAGTTTATTTTTATATTAGACTATGCCACCAAGGGCACCACTGTAATTTCTCATTCTTTTTATTTGTTTGTGTTGTCTCCTAGTACAAATAACATACCTAGTGCTGCCAGCCAGAGTTTTTTGGCTCTCTAAAGTTTCTTCCTCCTCTCCTCTCTTTGTTTTCCTCTCTTCTTCCTCTCTTTTGTTTTTCAATTGTTTTTAGGGTAGAAAACATGTAGAAATGAAAAAGATGAGCAAGAAGACCTAGCGGTCTAGCCCAACCAAGCAATAGCATGCCCAATCCCAAACCCAGCTCAGTCTGGCATGGGCTGGCCAACTTGGGTTTTCATCTTGGATTAGGCCTTGGCCCAAGGCTCATGTATTAGGGTTGACCCTAAACCCAACCCACCCAAGTTGCATATTTTCAGTTATAAATCAAAACATGGCACTATTGCAGCAGCTGACATGTAAAAATTGCAACTGTACCTACAACTGTGCACAACCTGTTGTTCCTGTTCCATGTTAATATCTAACAAATTAAAACATGGCTACAACCTACAATGTTGTAAATTACCAATTAAAACTTCAAATTCAAGGTCAACTCATCAAAACATAACAAGCTAGGTGAGGCACAATGCAAAAATGAGCTTCACCTGCAAAGCTAGGCTACCCTTTTAGAACACTTACAACACCTAGGCAACAAGGTGCATCCCTGTCATTTAGGCTTGCCATCCCACCTTAACAACTATGATGTAGTCATTTTAATGAAATAAAGAGTTCCTTAATTGCAGGAGAGATGCCTAGGCATGATGGCTAGAACCACTTACTCTAGGTGAAATGCCTAGCAATCCTTATTGGCTTCAAAACAAATAAGTTAAATTACCTTCTGTTAGTTTCTTCTCTATTACTACATCAATCCTGTAGGTTTTCAAGACTGCTATTCAGTCTTGATCACTAAGAGATTTTAGGTTCGATGAGAAGAGAAAGTGAAGAAGATGTAGAAGAAAGAGTGATAGAAGAGCAATAGAACACAGATTTTGAGGAGAAGAACAGAATGTCAAATATTCTGCCGCC